GTGTGTGTGTGCTCGAGTGTTAGAGTGATGCGTGTGGGATATCCAGGGTGATCCCGTGTATGTGAACAGTGAGATGTTTGGGCGCTGAGGTCGCCATAGCCAATTGGGAGTGAAATTCGTATCTGAAAACCAAATCTCTGAGTTTGAGTGGGCGCATGTCGCCAGTATGCTGCGTTACTGTTTACATGTGTGAAAAGTGTGTTTGAAAACGAGTCTGATTGCAATACTTTTGTTTCAGATTTTTTGGATTCTTTTTTTTTTTTTTTTTTTTAAGTACGCGTACGAAATTGGAAAAACAAAAAATGGTTAGTGAAGGGCGAAGCTCAGTGTATAAGCGGCGCCTTGTTATCACGAATTCAAGATCAAAAGTTAGACACCCAAAAAACATAATCATTGAAAGAGACAACTTCCACTACAATAGGCATAAAGGCATGATTGGTACCACAAAGTTCACTACATTGACCATAGTAAACTCCACGTTTGATAAAGATGGAAGTCTGATTTAAATGACCAGGTACGACATCACATTTGACACCCCTGGTGGGGTTTGTTTTTCTAAGCTATCCCACCCAAAACAGTCATAAAGATAGAGAAAAATGGTGAATTAACCCGAGTGAGTTGCTAAGAAACTCTGAGTAAATTTTAGACAAAAGTTAGTCAGTTGACTATTGATTTGTTCAATGATTGTTTTTTGTTGTGCAATAGCAGAAAGCAAACTTGGATCAATTGATTTTAACAACTCTTCTTCATATTTCAGAATTTGAGAAATTTGAATTTGATCTAAATAACCTTTGACAGCCGCATAAATAACAACAACTTGCTTTTCAATCGAGATTGGAATATATTGTGGTTGTTTCAACACTGAATAGTAAAATGCCAAATAGAACGAGTCACGCATTCTGATTTTTCTTTCTTTTTTGTCCAGACTCTAAAAGCCTGCGTTGCTCGCGTAAAACACAAATCTTGGGTTTATGAAAACGCTCGAATCGATCACTTCGAAAAACAAGTGATGGAGTGTTGTTTTCTAGTGTTTTTCTTTTGATCACGAACGTACGTAATTTTGATTCTTAGATTGCAATTGATTAGCATTCAAACTATTTATCATTACATCACACCATTTTGATGCTCCAGACACACTTGAACACACATAAACTATACTTGTGTTTAAACATTCTTTAATAACCACATGGGCAAAAACAGGGTCAGCATCGTATTTAGCTAAATCACTACTCAATTTTTGAGTTTTGAATTGTTTTCGTAATTTGAAAATTCGACTTATTTTCGGTAATCCATCATTACATAATAACACATAAAAACTCAAATAAAATACACAACCAAAGGAATTGCATGAAATATGTAAATTGATCTAATTGAGGCATTTTGTTTTTTACTTTTTTGTTGTTGTTTTTCGTGATTGTTCGATATTCAAAATTTTTGGATTCATTTTGCGCTTCTGATGTTGTTGCCGCTTTGTGGCCTGGTTGCCTCAATGTCCTGGCATATATGATTTTCGACATTGCTGTACGGGGGAAGACGTTGTGTGATCTTGTAGTGGATCGGCCTTGCCGAACACGTCCGGGCAATTATCCCACCAACATCTCACGTTCACGAGTATTCCGTTCAGCTGCGTATCACCTTGGGTTTGAAGTCTTTTGATGTATTTAGCGGTATCCGCAAAGACAATCAAATTCTTACGCGCTTTCACACCTTCGAAGTCCACAACGAGACAAACACGACTTATTCAACGTCGTTGAAGATACTCGTAGTGAAGAACTCGTTGTGAAGTCTCAAGCTCGTCGTGAAGGGGATCACTGGGAATAGCCAACCCTTGGTTGAACCCCGACCGTGTCTCTGATACGCAGCTGAACGGAATACTCGTGAACATGAGATGCTGGTGGGATAATTGCCTGAACGTGTTCGCCAAGGTCGGTCCGCTACAAGATCGCACAACGTCTTCCCTCGTACAGCGATGTCGAAAATCGTATGTGCCAGGACGTTGAGGAAACCAGGCCACGAAGTGGCAACAACATTTGTTATACTTCCAGCCTGCTATTGAAACTGAGTGGTAAGGTCCAAATCGACGGATACTGACCCTATAGGAGTTGATTACCCATCTGTTGATATTGATTGGGGGACAGGTGACTAAACAATAACTTACAACGTTAAAGCCTATAGGTGATATTGGCGAGATCCAACTGTTTTGTTTGATGTACCTATTGGAAGTCAGAGGACCCATAGTACCCGTCTAACCCGAAAGGGACCTAGTAACAGGAAAGCACTGACAATCTCATCAGTAATCGGGAAGGGGTCTATGCATCTGCACAACGCAGATTTCATTCTACGACATAGAGACAACTCTTGCCTAGGGGGAATTTAATATTGGATCTTTGAACTTCAAGTTTTCGAAATCGTGGTTTTACACATCACAATCTTCTAATATTGTAGCTATATGCTATATATGGCAAACCAGCCAGGCGCCTGGACCTGACAATACCACACGTGTTTGTAAGTTACAAACGGGAGTCAGGTTCATTTTCATTTAATATCGAGTCTGCAGTGCGCTTCAGGTGTGTTAGTTCCATATTGGACTTAGGTTCTTTACATGTGTAGGTAAGTACGTCAGTTATCAACGTAAAAACAGAGAAGACGTTGTTTCGTGCCTTGCCACGTCCGGTCTGGTATACCACCTACACCTCGTGTTACGAACTCCCCGTTCAACTGCATCTCAGAGACACGGTCGGAGATCTTCCAAGGACTGGCTAAATCTAGTGATCTCCTTTCACGCCATGCTATGGTCCCCGAAATGAGTTCGTCATTCCAGGTGTCTTTCATGCATGCTCCACGCTGTCGAGCGCACGGTCCCCTGCTGGTGGGGGACCTTCCCGGCCGCGTCACGCAGGATTGGCAGATTCGCAAGTCGCTTCACAAAAAGGAAGCGGCGGAGCCGCTCCGGCCGAGTGCGCCAGCTATACCTCCATCGAGTCCCTACGACAGGACAGGGTCTTCGAGGTACAACTTACCTCCACCCGCGGGAGCTGTCACCATCCCTTGTGTGGGTGTATCCCTGCCGAGCTACTGAACCACACGCGAAAGTTTTTACTTGCAATCGCGGAGGTGGCCCAGCTGAGGGCGTTTCTCGTATGCTGTAGCATAGGGGGTACGCGCGGTCCACGCCTAACCCGTACGCGAACCGTCACGCTGGGGCGCTGATCTCCCACGTGTGATTCAACGTCGGTCGACTAGGACATCCTAACTCAACCACGCGATACACAACAAAACAAAGTAACTCATACAAGCAATTTTAGCCTAGTCCCTTTTTCATACGTCCTGACCCATAACTCAGAACTGCCAATGTGTCTGAGCGAGGTCCGCGCAGAGTTGCATAAAAAGAATGTCACTGCCATGGGAACCATAACGTTCAGTCATGTGTTCTCACTTAATCTGCTATCATGGCGACACTGCATGCGTTACCCACATCCACGCAACCTCTCATGGGTTTCGGGGTTGCGTACGACACTCAAGTATCGAGAGCGAAATATCGTGAAGGGTTTCTTCTTCACGATATTGCACGGCTGAAGGATAAGCCATTCGGCCCTTGCGGCACCTCTGTCTTTTTAGGCAATGGGTGACGATAAGCAAGGGGCGCAGGTCCGGCTCAAGGGGGAAACCTTTTTGTGCTGGACCGGAGCCTGGGATGTCCTGGACAAGGACCTCGAATTCCAGGCTCAGGACCAACGTCCGACTAATAATCTAAAAAGCAAGACCGCTTTTGAGACGGGGTACGCTCGTCCTTCCCCTGCGGGAGGAAAATACGAGTACTCACGGGTTGGCGAGCAATTCGCCATACCCAAGCTAAGTCTCAGTCCGAATCAGGTAAGCACGTAACGTATCTCTGGAACCTTTTTTTTTTTTTTTTTGGAGAATCTCTGAACAAATGAGACTGAATCTTCTGCTTGAACATGGAAAGATACATTGCCATATATGGGCCTCGCTGCACTACTCTGGAAATGTGCAAAACGAGAGTGAATCTTGCGCTAGAATATGGAAAGATACACCGCCAATATTTTTGTCTTGTTGTGCATGTCGAGAGTTGTGCAGCGAGCCCGTTGGTGAACATTACCGTTGAGGTTTCGGGCTTCACTCGTGCAAATAATTTCTGATGTTCTTCCTTTACGTTTTTTTCTTTTTATTAAAAAAACAAATTCCAGGAAAAACGGTTGTCAGTTTCGTCGTTTTCTACTTCAGATGTAATAAGAAGAGATTGTTTTGAAAGATCGCGACCCTCATCATGACTGAATCTGGCCTGCAAGAACCCTACCATACCGTTGAGGTTCTGACAGGTTGGATGCGCAGGGCGACACTCATGCAAAGAAATTCTGATTTTCTTCCCTTACATTTTTTTCTTTTTATTAAAAAAAAGTTTCCAGGAAAAATGGCGGGCTGGGGGGACAGTCCAACAACAGAATTAAAGAGCCGATTCCCCCCCCCAGACTTCAAATCAGGTTCAGACAATTCAAAAAAAAAAAAAGAAGTACGGGCCTTCGCGCGGCCTCCAAATTTCGCGCCCGTTTTCGTAATTTTCCCAGGACCCCCCCGAACCCCGAAAACCGAACCGACCAAAAATTTTTTTTTTTGGTACCCTGCAATTTCGACCATGCGCCGCCCGTCGTGCGGGCGCCACTTGCGCGCTGCGGCCTGCGCCGCACGTGCGCAAGTGTCGCGCACGACGTGCGCCGCAAGTATGCCAAAAACTGATATTGTTTAATCGTGGAAAGGCCATATCAGGCGCTCCAATTAAAATAGTTTCCAAACCCACCTACAAGAGGAGGCATTACCATAAAGAGTAGGATAGAATGATAATGAAAGATAAGATAAGAAGTAAGCACTGCATGAATAATATGAGGTCACTTTGATGATGCTGGATGTCACAAAATTCGAAATGCTTTGTTTTTTCTCTCCTCCGAACCGTACGTGCAACTTCCATTGTATACGGCTCTTCAAATAAATCTTACAAGGTCCTACTCCCCAATTAAGATTCAGAACTTCGTGTTAGCGCCTTCTCTTCGATCCTTTGATAGGGTCGAGTCCCACGGGCTGTGTGTCCGAAATTCGATTTAACGCGGGGTGCACGTTAAAAAATTGAACGCGCGTTCAATTCGCGTTCAATCCCCGTTCAAACGCGCGTTGGACGCGAATGAACGGGGTCCGCGAACCGTTATTTCGCGTTGTCGGGTGGGGGGAGGGGGTTTTGTGAAGGTGCGGGGTGGTAGTACTCGTTGTCGGGTACCACCCCGTGCATTCATTTTTTTTCATTTTTATTTTTTTCAAAGAAAAAAAAAAAAAACGCGGGGCACCGGCCTGCGGCGGCCTCCTGGGGGTTGGCGCAGGGCGAACGGGCCGAACAGGTACTTAACGCGCAAGCGTGTTCGGCCGCAGCTAATTTGCCGCGCGAGCACTAACGCTCCAACGCGACGAACGGGTTGCCCGTCAGGTTGGAACGCACACGCGCGCGCGCGCGCGCGCGCGCGCGCGCGCGAGAGAGAGAGAGAGAGAGAGAGAGAGAGAGAGAGAGAGAGAGGTGGGCCATTGCGCGCGAGAGAGGCTCAGAGGCTGTTCGTGCGCCTTACAGCGCGGAGAGAGAGAGAGAGAGAGAGAGAGAGAGAGAGAGAGAGAGAGAGAGAGAGAGAGAGAGAGAGAGAGAGAGAGAGAGAGAGCAGCACGGA